AATCTGACTGGATGATCTGGTGAACTGGAAAGTGACCTGAGATGACATGATGTGAATTGGCGCTATAGAAATAAAATAATTGAACTGATCTGTTTGCTGCTCATGTCGGAACATAAAACGTCTTTTTCCAATTAAATTCATATTTAAAAAGCCACTTAGAAAGTCTGGAGAACATTGATCCAGACCACTTTAAAATAATGCTGAAAGTTTCGCTGCCTGGCAGCAAAAAGGGCCGGAATGAGGAGGGAATTAGGAGCTCTGGGCATCAGCGGAAAAAATGATCCCTGCTATAAACAGAGAGTTTGAGTGTTATTACCTCTGTACAGAACCATCACAATCAGTACCACCAGGTAGGAGCGGCCACGGGAGCCGAGGATGCTGGGTAATGTGAGAAGCACGGTGCACCTGAAGGATGAGGACAAGGCTCCACCTACGAGACACACACCTGAAACCCAAACACCTGTGTTCACCTGATGATGATGATGATGATGATGCCGGAACAAGGAATGTGAGTCTGACGTTTCCTCACCAGTAAATATAAATCCTACAGCCAGCTTCAGGTCAAAGGTCAGGGGGAGGTTGTGAGAAATTCCCAGAAACAACACTGAGAAAAAAAAAAAAACAATTTGAGCAAAATTTTATTGCATAAAATAAATTGTCCACCTTTATGAAGTCTTCAATCATTTGATTGTTTATATTAAAATCTTTCTTTATGTTTTTCTGTCATTTTGTCTTTAGGTATTTAAACTCAAAGGTTTAACATTTTTAATTCATCTTTCCATAATCATTTAATATTGTCAGTACATTTTCTATTTTCTTTTTATGAGTCCTGCATCAAACCGAAAGCCAGAAGGAAATTTGGGTCTGGTCATGATCCTACAGCCATGTCTCAGTGAAACCTGTGACACTGCAGGCTGCGTCCTATTAGGTGCTTGAAATTAGTTTATTTTGTTAGCCATACATTTTGAGTTTTTATAAAGATCAAACAACTGGTTTGAACTTCCTGCAGGTTTCTAAACTGATCCGGGATGCGGTGCCATCATCCAGGTGCTGTTTGAGCATTAGAGATGTCAATAAGCAGCTCATCGTAATCAAAAACAAACAACAATGTTAAAAACCTCAGAAGGAAGTTTGTAAAACACATTAAATAAACGAATGAATGAATTTAAGGAGTAAAAAAACCCTCTAACAATCAGCCTAAAGTTGGTTAAAAGAAAAGCTTCCGTAGCATAAAAATAAACAATATATATAACCTAAAACAAATGTGATAAACAGAATTTGATAATCGCAGAGCATCAAATTGAACAAAACAAATACTATAATCAGGGAGCAATTTAGTAGCAATCATAATGAAAATATAAAATGAAAAAATAAATAGGTAATTCCTAAATAATTATTCGCATAAAAACGCAAACTTTTCAACTAAAATTACAAGAATAAAGTCGTAGCATTATGAGATTAAAGTCATAATATTTTACGAGAATAAAGTGATAAAATTGCAAAATAAAGTCGCAACATTATGAGAATAAAGTCATAAAATTACAAGAATAGAGTCATAAAATTACAATAAAATCATAAAATTACAAGAATAAAGTCGTGACATTATGAGAATAAAGTCAGAACATTACAAGAATAAAGTCATAATATTACGAGAATAAAGTCATAACATAACAAAAATAAAGTTATAAAATTACAATAAAATCATAAAATTACAAGAATAAAGTCGTAGCATTATGGGAATAAAGTNGGGCCCTAGGATACTGCCTAGTATTGCCTAATGGTGATCCTCCCCCCGATTATCGAACCATAAAACCAGGAGAAAAGAACAACCATCATCCAATTAGCTGACTGACAGAAATAATGAATAACCTCCACATCTTTTTCTTCTTCAGGTCAGGTTGGCCTTCTCGCCCTCGCAGAAAGAGGAAACTCCGGGTCCACCTGGTCAGAGCGGGTCGCAGCCTGGCGGCGTTTCTCTCTGGTCTTCTGCTGGCGTCTCTTTATGGACTCATGCGCCTCATGCTGCAGAAACAACAGCTGTGGTTCTGTGTCTACTCCACAGTGGTTTTGGCCGGGCTGATGGGGTTCGGGATGGGCTTGTCAGCAGGTGTCCGGGCCAGCATCATGGTCATGCTGCCCTCCATGTTCTCAGGTAAGTCAGAGATGCTCACCTGGGTCTAACGGCGAGGCACTTGGGCAGCCTGACGATTATGGAGAGACATTGTATAATATTATAAAGAGCAAAAATCGCGTTAAAAAAGGACATTTTAAGAAAAATCTTTTTTAAATAGGGACTCAGTGCAGAAAAACTTCTAAAACAAAAAATAAGTGACTTTATTTTTTCAGATTTTTTTCCAATCTCCATGTGGACATTAAAGACAGCATTTCAGCAGACAGACCGCCCAGAAGTGTAGAGGATAAAACCTGTGAAACTGTCAGGATTTATGAAATAAAATTCTGTCTACCCAAAAATATTTGAATTATTAAGTGTTACAAAAAAAAAACGAAAAAGTATTTTGAATTTAAAACCTAAAAATAAATCTGTAAAAAAAAAGCAATCTGAAAATGTTGATTAAACTTTTATAAACACATCATCAAATACTGTCATAACTTTTATTAAAGGAAAAGTTTGGTCAGCGAGGAATAATCAATGGATCATTATTTATAACTAAACTAATACGTTTGCAGTGATTTAATGAATTTAGCATTAATTTGAAAAAATAAAAACATAATTTTTGTCACGATCACTGAGTCTGGGAGCGTCCATTTTCTCCCAAATCTAGTAGCCCCTCCCTCCTGCCATCTTCCAGCAGTAACGTCACGGTGCGGTTAGCCTAGCGCCATTCTCCCCGCTTTCCAAGCTAAATCAATGGGAACTACTAGACACATCTGCAATCAACAACAATTATTGAAGATT